TTGGGCCAGGTTGGGGCAGGCAGCAACTCACTACAGCTGGTTTGTGATCCTTCACCCCGTTCCCTTTTGAAGACAGCTTGTTTTTCATCCTTGATTACATGCTGTCCCTGCTCTCTTGTTCTCATATTGCCAGCTTAAGGGTCTTTCTGTTCTCTTACCATCTCATCTGCCCTTTAGTCTCCTTTTTTTCCTTCTCTTTTCCATATCTTCTTGCCCTGTCTTTGCCCATCCAGTTTTCTCTTTTCTACCTTTGCTTGCCACCTCTCTGTCCTCTGTACCTCTAAAGCCAGACCCTGGCACTGGCAACAGATGAGACCTCTGGTGCCCTTTGGAAGCCCTGTTCTTCTGTTCCGATTAATTTTGCCACAAACCCAGGGGCATTTGCATAGTTTTAGATTAGGCAGTCATGTGATTATACTGAAATTTGTTCTGTGTTCACATTTATTTATTTATTTTGGGGGTTTTTTGTTTGGTTTTGGGGGAGTTGGGGAGTTTTTGTGTGCATATTTAAATGTATGACTTGATTTTTGTGGGATGTGTAAATTTACATTATATTATTATTATATTTACATTGTAGATGTTATGTGAAATTTTTTCTTGGAATCTTTTTTAGAATGAAGTTTTTAGTTCGACGGTGGCATCGAGTCACAAGTTCTGGTTCCATCAATATTAACAGGGATGGCTTTGGATTGAGTCCAGGTGAAGTCAAAGTAGAATTTTTTTCTTATGTTGATGATTCTCTGAAAATACTGCATATGTACTACCTTCCAAATAATGTGTTCTGGGACCTGTGTTGTCCAAAGACAGAAACTTTTTGTAACTAACAAAGCTGGGGACTTTGCTCTTTTTAAAGAATAATAGGAGTTGATTTTTATAGAGCCCTCAGTCCACACTGGGTCCCACTTTTTTCCACAAATTCTCATGATGTAAGTACAGTTACTATTATTTTTACTTTACAAATGAAAAGCTGAGATATGGAAAGCATTTGCCACTTGCCTAAAATTACGTAGTAGGAAGTGGTAGAGCTGGCATTGAACGCTGGTGGACTGGCTCCAGAGCCCACTCTCCTTAGGGCTGCATTTAGGCTCTGGTTTAAGATAGGATTGCTGATACTGTGTCATGTGGAAGTTTTGGCTTGAAGTTTTCACAGTTCAGCAATATTCAAAGAGGTTTCTGAGTTTGCCAATAGGTTGTGTAATATAACAGTTAAAATTCCTTCTCTGTACACCCAAATATAAAGGCTTCAACATTTCTGGCAAAATGAGGTCAGAAGCTGAGAAGCACAGTTACAGACACATAGCATAACTGCTATGTTCTGGAATTAAACCACCTTTACATGTTCTACCAGTAGCTGACCTATATATATTTGATAGTCTAAGCAAAGTGTTTTTGAAATATGCATTCTTATATACTGAAACAGTTGAAATTTTGTGCCATAATAAGTTCTGTGTTGTAAGTTAGCAAATCTTGGTTTCAAGTTTTTTCCAGTAAGTCAGTAGAACAGGACTTGGTTATATTAAGTCTAGTATTTTTTTATCTACATTGTCTTTTTCTCTAAACCACACACATACTCAGACACCCCTCACCTCACCTCTAGTTAAAACTAAGAGGTCTTTTGAAAAGGAAATACCTAATTGGTTTATTTTCTTAGAGGTACAGTTCCAGATCATCAGAAATGCTAACACTGAAAGATAAATAATAGTTGTACTGTTGTTTCTCTCCTGTAGTAAGAATAAATGAAAATGACTATATGTAGGAGATAGTGTAGTGTGGTACACAGAATAATAGTTTTTAGGCCCTTATATGTTTTGTAGAAAATTTTCAAGGGCTTGGTATTTTTTCCTTTACAAGGTACATTTTGGATTACTTTAGGTGCTGAAAAAACTGACCCATTTTATCATTCTTCTGGTGGGCTAGAGCTATATGGAGAACCAAGACACACTACATACCGCTCAAGATCAGATCTGGACTATCCAAGGTCTCCTTTACCATTTCAAAATAGGTAAGAATTTGATATACCTATATTGATACACTAATACTGAACAGAGAAAGAAGGACAGTGTTAGGGTTTTGACTGCTTTGCATTGAAATAGCTAACTGTTTTTAGTTATGTGTGATTTATATACTAAAGCTCAGGATCAAAAACAATTTTTGAATTTGTAACTAGTTTCCAAGGATATAGGAAACAGCTGATCAAGTGTTTTTTAATACATATGGTGTGGTTAGACATTGTGAAAGTATTAACTAAAATTGACAGTCTCTGGAATTGTGAAAAATCCTCTGAAGTTTGCATGACAAGATGCATTTATACATCTGCAACACTTATTGATGGCCGCTGTAACAGGCAGTGTGCTGGACATTTTATGATTTAGTAGCTGCTTTGAACTTACTGGAGTTTTTTTCCTTTACACATGGCAAACTCAGAACATGGGGGATTCGAATAGGCAGTGTACAAGTGTTCCACCTTTTGAGGGCAGGGTGGAGGCAGGTTGGTAAGTTACTTGCATTGTTTCTGGATAATTTGGATTCATGTTCACATTTTTAATATCATAGGTACCCAGGCCTTCCAGCTGACTTAAATCCTGGTTCCTTAGCATGTTCTCAGCTTCAGAATTACGATCCTGACAGAGCCCTGACAGATTATATTACTCGTCTAGAGGCACTACAAAGACGACTTGGAACTGTACAGTCAGGTACTCTCAGCTTAACTGAGTATTGGCAGCACCATAGTGATAGACCTAGAGTTCTTCGTTCTCTTTTTTGAAACACCTTGACCTTCCTCATTAGGATAATCAAATATTACAGTTCAGTGTATGAGTTATCAGACTAGATTTAGCAGTTTAAGCCAAAACATGATTTATCACTGAGGATCCCACTCTCCCACCCAGAAAAGATCCCTGCTTGTTTCCATTCAGATTGATTAAATGAAATGCATGATGTACATGGATGTGCACAGTACTCTAAGGCTTACACAGTTGACCATGTAATATGTGGTGAAACATGCAAATAAGGGGTACGGAGAGGAGAGGAGGAAGATAGTACTTTAAGCACCTAATGACCTTGTACTTTTACATATGATCCAAGAAACCCATCCCATTCAAAAGACTTACTTAAGAATGACCTTTTATTTTTCTATGCTCAAAAACACACCAAAAAATTTCATACTTAGTAAAAGTGGATTCGCTTCCCTGTTCATTATGGGAAAAACCTCTTTTCCTTGTCTCTCTTTGGTTCACTCCTGATTTAAAGATTTTCAGTCATTTTAATGAACTTTAAGTCAACTTATATCACTTTTATTAAAGGTATTTTTAAATACTATTTCCATAAAATAGGTAAGACTAGTCTTTTAAGTTAGTAGTTTAAGTTAGTTTATCTCTTCATAGAAGAAATCATCTAACCCAGGCAACTTGTAGTTGTAGGAAACTATTACCATCATAGCTGGACTTTGTTGGTTTGAGCACCTAAATTTCACAAGACCCAGATTCAAGACCAAAAGACTTTTCAAGAAGTATAGAACATTCAACCTGCAGGGCGCTTTACAGAGAATTTTAACATTAATTTCACTTACCGTGCTCTGGAGCCAGCTTCAGTGACTTTTTAATATATATTCGAAATCTCTTTTTAAAAATCAGTTCAAGTCTAAGACTTTAGGTGGGGGAAAGCATTTTTTAAAAAGGGTGGGTAATAACCTTCTGCCCTTCATGAACTAGTTAGTCTGGTATAAGTCACAATCTGATTTGAAATCTTTAAAATATCCTGTTCCTGTCTTATAGGTTCAACTCAGTTTCATGCTGGCATGAGAAGATAATCCTTTGAAACATCATGAATCGAAATGATTTTAAACAAATTCCCTTTTGTAAATCAGTCATTCTTTTGTGCTTTTGTATTGTGGATATTCAATGGGACCAATACAAACACAGCTTATGATTGTGCACAGATCCCTTGCCAGCACATGAAACAAACTGGAATTTGTACATATAAGCATTGTGTATGTATTCATGCACAATAATCATTAAATTACATGTATATTTGTGGAATGCTAATTTAAATGATTAAATTATAAACCTTGTGTATTTATCAAATGGGTGAAAAGATTAAACTTTTGCTTATTACGATACTGTTGAATGTGTAGCTTAAGGTGTCCTGCACTTTTCTTATAAGGCTACTGAAGTTACATGTTTCTGCCTAATATATTTGCTACTGGTGATGAAGACAGATACCACTTGTAGAGACCTATTTTTGTATAATGGTAGAAGTTTTGAATTTTATGGGGTATTTTGTCAAGTACTGAAATAAAAATAACTTCACCATTTTAACTACACCGTATTTGAACCTTCATTTTTAATGAGCCATAGCTCTTGGTGCATGTCTTAGTCTGTTCAGGCTACTCTAACAAAATACCATAGCCTGCGTGGCTTGTAAAAACAACAGAAACTTATTTCTCACAGTTCTGGAGGCTAGGAAGTCCAAGATCAAGGTGCCAGCAGATTCGATGTCTGTCTGGTGAGAGCCCGTGTCCTAGTTTCAGACTGCCAACTTCTTGCTGTGTCCTCACATGGCAGAAGAGGCAAGGGTCTCTTTGCTAAGGGTGCTAATCACATTTATGACAGCTCCATCCCCGTGACCTAATCGCCCCCAAAGCCCCACTTCCAGATACCAACAGATTAAGGATTAGATTTCAACATATGAATTTGGGGAGACACATTCAGCCTATGGTAGTACATGTCACCTCATTATTTATCTCAAATATGAAGAACTTAAGAGTTTAGAAAGTGGTCCTAATTTTAGAATTAGCTACATTAGGATTTTTCTCTCCCCACACTGAGGAAGAATTTTTCATGTGCCTTTTACCAGTTTTTAAGTCTATACGTAATGTTTTTTAGAAGTCATATATTTTTATTTTCATGATTAATCCATATTTGTCCTATTATATTTAGGGTAACTTGTATCCAAAGATGTGTCCTCACAAAGCCATGGACACTAAGATGATGCAGAAACCTTTTAACTCAGACCATTTTAAATTTTATTAATCACAGTGCAAAATTAAGCAGTAGAGTCCTGCTGTCCAAATTAAGAGTGAGGTGCTCTCACAGAGATAATATACATCTCAATGTTACTTCTACCTATAGTCCTCCCTGAACATGGCCATCACTAAAACAGCAAGAGGAATAGTATTTGAAGCTTAGATCCAGAGAATTTTGTCTTACCACTGGATATTCCATGATTTATACCAACTCAAACAGGCTGTCTACATTCTTGGAAATTTCAAATTACCTAAATTTCCATTTTAGCAGCTAAGTTCCAGTAAGAGGAGTTCTACAAGTAACAAATGTATTCTAAAGCAGTTAAAGGAGGGGAGGTTTAGGTAAAACCTTTTTAAGCTAAGCATAGCTTTCCATTCAAGGTGATTACGCTCTAAGAGAGAATGGAGAAAAAAAAGAGCAGATAGACAAGCGCTCCCATTAGTCTCATTTCATTCCCATTGTCTGACCTTCAGCCCTTCTATGACATCAGGCCTTTGCAGTCAAACTTGTTGATGCTTCTCAATAATTAGTCTGTGCTTAAAAACTAAATCTTATTGAAGTCTTAAAACTATTCACTAAACATAGACCAGCCTTACCAGTTTTAACTTCTCTGTGCCATGAACCTCCCTAGCAAGTCTTGTGACTTACAGATCCCTTCTCACAATAATACTTTTAAAGACTTAAGGTGTATACCATTGCAGAGGAAACCAATTATATAAAAATAACCAAACCTTTTGAAAAATTTTTGTGATATAACTAAAGAAATAAGATCTAGCAGATCTAATAACTACCATAATTTCAAAGTAGTGATGAGAGTTAAAGACATTTCAAGAGATCTGCAACATCTATAATGTGATATGCAAATAATCTATAATTTCTGTCCACATCATGGGTACTGCCAATACTAGTGTGGTTTGTTGCCTAAATTCATAAATAAGGAAAATATTACAGTTTGAAATTAGTAAAAATAAAGATGGAACTTTTTTCCCTTCCAAGTTCCTAGATTCCTGAATTTTACTCAGTGAAGTATACTCTTTATAATTCATGAATGCAGGCTGTATTCTCAAAGATAATTTTAATGTGAAAAACTCAATAGCAGAGATTTTGCCGTCACAAATGGAGTTTAACATGAGTCCTCCAGCCTTTTAAACCAAACTGTAAAATACATAAGGGAAAATATTTTGCCATATCTATCTGGTTAAATTATATGTATCATAATAATTTGAGGTTCCCAGTTATAATTTGATTCTTGAACACAGGCTTCATAGAATCAGACCAGTGATACACTCCCAAGGTCCCTGCTTCCTATTACCCTATCTTAAAGCCAGAGTTCCCTGATCTCAGATTTTGGTTTTTTTTTTTAAAAAGCTGTTAACCTAAATTAACAGAACTACTTAACATACATCCCTAATTAGATTCTGGAGAGGATGCGGGAACCACCTTGAGCCAAAGGGAACAAAAATTAAATTATCCCACAAGGGGATAATTTTGGACTTACATATGTCAAGATGTGTAACCAGATACAAATTTATCAGGCATATAACTATGTAACATTTAGTAATTAGATCAAGTTACAGGAGCAGCCTTTAATATTAATTATTTTTTAGGAAATATAATTAAGTCATTGTCATAGATCTCTCTCAATTTCCTATAGACAGTGCTTCCAGTTAAAATTTCAAAGGACGTATCTTCCTACAACATAGCTCTATCTTTGCTAAGTATCATCATACCAAAACTGTAGGATTCTCTTTTATCCAAAGCTTTAAATGTGAGTTTATTTCCTGCCCACCCATCCTCACACATAAATACATTACCCAGCAAATGAATAAATAACCTAAGCCTTCCACGAATTGCAGTGGGTTTTTATACTTGCACATCTAGTCCAAATTTGAATACCCTAAACTTACTTGCCAACAGCTGTGTTTTAAAATTAATACCTGGAAATTGTGTGATTTAGAATCTGCCAATTACCAAAGATTCTGTTCCCTCCCTGCAGACTGATGAGCTTATAATTTCATTAAATAAAAGATGTAGTAAATATCCATCATAAAACTATTAGGAAATTTCTGAAATGCCATTAGATTTCATAGAATTCAGGTAAAATATAAAAACCATTAAGCTGGCTGTCTTTTAAAATTACACACTCAAAAAATAGTACACTGGGGGTTTTTGATAAACTTCATTCTCTTCAAGGCTTTTGCAGTTTACAGTGATGTATCACGTATTAGTTCCTTGTAGCCTTTTTCATTTTGATCTTCGTTTGTATCGGATAACTGGGTTTTCAGGAGTGTGAATCATGGTCGTATAATTCACAGTGGGAAAATATCCATCAATGAGATCAAATTCATATAAACGAAGCATAGTGGACCAAATTGTCTTAATTTGAACATAGGCAAAATTCTCCCCAATACAACGATGGCGCCCTGTCAAAGAAGAAAGTTCTCGTAAGAATTGGTTGGAATTCTTTCTCATTTCTTTCCATCTGGTGTGATAAATTTGTTTATCTATCTACAGTTAAGGTGAACAGCAGATACACAGGTATTATAGTAAAGAGATGACATAGTCTTTTCACAAGAATATAAAAAATAAAAATCCTAAAAGATTTTCAATGTCTGTTCTTAGAGGAAACAGCACTTGAGTAATTATAACTTTTCCAATTTTTTTTTGAAACCTAACATCTATCTAGGTTAAGTATATGTAATACAATGGTAATCTAGTTTGGGAATATACTAGAATATTCTTAACTTCCATCCTAAGAGAGCCATAGTTAAAAGTTAATGTGAACCTTCCAAATCAAAACTTTAAATGCCATTGCAAATGATAATGGAAGAAAAAGGGATTTAATACACCCAAGTTACTAACACAGGTGTGATCAAAACAAGAGTTATATGTATGTAAAAACTGACCATCTAATTCTAAAATGCATATGGAAATGCAAAGGCCTAGGTTATCCAAAGCAACCTTGAGATGAACCAAGTTGAAGTACTTAAAATGACTTCAAATCTGACTTCAGTACTAAAGGTATGACAACTGTGATAATGTGATTTGCAATAAATACGTATTTGGTCTTCTATTCTTGGCACAGAGCTCCTCAAATCTTGGAAAATTTCTTAAGTGAAAAAGCAGTAAAGGTCAAAGAAGAAAAGAGCCTTTTGTTATTCATAAAAAGCCCCTTTCCGCCACACTTGACTTTGCTAATGAGGTGACTTTTGGCTGCCAGGGGAAGTAACCACGTTATTAGAGAGTTGGAACTTTCAGTGATACCCCTGACCTCCAGGAGAGAGACGGGCTGCAGGCTGAATTACTCACCAATGATTAATGATTTAACCAATCATGCCTATGTAATGAAGCTGCCACAAAATCCCTTAAGTACAGGGAAGGGACAGGATGGGGGACTGTTCAGAGAGCTTCGAAGTTAGTGAACACATGGAGGTGCTAGGAGGGTAGCATACCCACAGAGGGCATGAAAGCTCTGGACCCCTTCATTCTTCTTTGCCCTGTGCTTCTCTTCAGTCAGGCTATTCCTGAGTTGTATCCCTAATAAACCAGTAATCTAGTAAATAAACTGTTAGAATTCTAAGTTCTGTAAGCCATTCTAACAAATTATGGAATCCCAAGGTGGGGATATAGAGAACCTCGAGTTTATAGTCAGTTGGTAAGAAGAACAGGTGACAACCTGGCCTTGCAGATGGCATCTAAAGTCGAGGGGGTGGGTAGTCTCGTGAGATTGAATCCTTAACCAGTGGGGTCTGCGCAAACCCCAGGCGGAAGCCAGATAATTGCCAGTTTAGAAGTGATTCCTTTTGGGGGCAGAATCTGGGCTAGAGTACTAATGCCCCTTCGAACTGCTTAAGCCATCTATGACTCTTCTGTTATTTACACCATATCACTGAATTTGTTTACTGAACAGTTTTGTAAGATCTGAAGTTCCCTACAGACTTGATAGTTTCCTTTATATGTGGAAAAAGTGTGACCAATCATAAAAAAAAGTCATGTCACATAAATGATTTTTGGAAAAACTAAATCAAAGTCATAGAATATAGTTTAATCTGTGCAGAGTACCAGTGGATAGAGAAATTATTGCAGGAACAAGGGTCTGCCTCCATTATTTTAGGATCTTAATTGAAATGCAGAATTTTGCAAACCTATGCACAAAGGGCCCATATTTAAAGACTGTCTTATCATAAGGATGTAGACAGGGAACCAAAAAGCTGAATAACAATCCAGAAAAATCTTCACTTCTTTAAAAAAACTTCCTTTGCTCTTTCCTAAAATGTTGACAGTCTCTTATATTTAGCCTGAGATAATGGTGTGCTCACTATAATGGCTCATTAAAACAGAATTCACAAAGACCTTTAAAAACTATTATAAGGGAAAACAGGGTGGACTATAAGAAATAGAACTGAGAAAACGAGATAGGTTAGAAGGTAATAGAGCATTATATAAGGATTCACAGAACTATTTCCTTTAGTACAAATGAAGTATTTTTTCCAACCTGCAAAGTTAATTAAACTCCTACAAATATTTGCAGGAATGTCCCTGTGAGGAAAGGGAAAGATATGTAAAAATAAAATTCACATAGATTATTTTGCCAGGCACAAGTACGTTATCAAAACATTTCCTTTGTAAAATGTAATCATCTTACCAGCTCCAAATGGCACATAGGCAAACTTCTCTCCTGATGCTGGATTGTCCTGTAAGTAGCGATCAGGATTAAAGTCCAGACGTTCTACCCATGAGTCTTTAAGCCTTTGATTGACAGTGGGAGAAACACACACCTGATGTCCTGGAGGAATGATATACCCAGCAACAGTCTACATATAAAAGCAACACATTACATTAGATAATTTTAAATTTTCCACCAAATAATGAGACCATTGTATAATAAGGCATTAATATACATGAAATTTACATATTTAAAAACTAGCCAGATGATAGACCAGTTAAAAATTCTTTTAACTCAAGATGACGTCCCAGTGGCACAACACTGGGTTGGAAGTATATACGCAAATGTTTTTTGAAAGCGGTAATGCCTTGGGGTTTAGGAGTGGGATTTCAGGGAGTCTTTCCCAATCCAATTTATACACTTCCACATGGTTAGAATTTTTTTTTTTTTACAACACACGTTAACATGTTATTTTTAAAACCAAGAAAAAAAACCTCTCATTTAAAAAACCCTAATTGTTAAATAAAAGTGTAGGGAACAGACTGGCATGAATACTGCTGGAATGATGTAAAAATATTTATATATTTAGAATATGTAAAATTGAAAATCATGTAGGAAAAATGGAAATCATTCTATTTTTAAAATAAAAAACTTCTCTTTGACGTTACAATATTTCTTCTTTTTGATAAATAAATACTGAGGACACGAAGGGGAAGATCTAGCCAGGAGACTCACCTGAGGAGTTTTGGCCATTCTCATCATGGTCATGATAGGAGGTCGAAGTCTTAACGTTTCTTTTATGCAGCGATCAAGTAAATTTAGATCTTTGAGCTAAAAAGAGAAAACATTTCCTGAGTTTTACAAATCTTTAAACATACTTCAACAGTATACAAAATTATTTTAACTTCTGGGTTATTACAAGATAGCATATATTCTGGATAGAAGTGCAGAAGTAACAGGTTCAAGGTAGCTGGTATTTTATTACTGTCCATGGTCAGCAAGGAAAAAGAAAGCAAGATAACATCACTCTGAATGGCATGGTAAGGACCTGCAAAAATCTAAAAAATGAAAACATTAGCAAAAATCATCAGTGTCAGCTTTTTCAAACCCTGTATACAAGTGCTTAGAGTAGCATTATTCGTAACAGCCAGAAGGCAGAAACAACCCCCGTGGTGGAGGGTATAGCTTCGTTGTAGAGTGCCTGCTCGGCATGCATGAGGTCCTGGGTTCAATCCTTAATTCTCCATTAAAAATAAACCAACAAAATAAAATAATAAATAAACCTAATAACCTCCTCCCCACTACAAAAGAAGATAAAACAACCCAAATGTCCATCAACAGAGGAACAGATACCATACGATGGAATGTTACTTGCCAATTAAAAAGACTGAAATACTGATACATGCTACAACATGGATTAACCCTGAAAGCATGCTAAGTGAAAGAAGCCAGCCACAAAAGACCACATACTGTATGATTCCATTCATATGAAATGTCCAGAATAGGCAAATCCATAGAGACAAAAGGAGATTAGTGGTTGCCAGGGGCAGGGGAAATACAGCATGACTGCTAATGGGTACCTGCTCTCTTTTGGAAGTGATATAAATGTTCTAAAATGAAACTGATGATGGCTTCACAATTCTGAATATAATTTTACTTTTTTCTGAATATAGTTTTAAATAGGTGGATTTTAGAGTATTTTGAATTATATATCAATTAAGCAATCACATTAAAAGTTACTAAAATCAGGAAGGAAAGAGGGGACATCACTATTGACCTAATAGGAATAAAAAGATGATGAGAGAATACTGGAAAGACAAACTGCCAAAACTGACCCAAAAATAAACTATAAATAAACCTGTAACAAGTGAAGAGATTGAATTAGTGATCACAAAACTTTCTACAAAGAAAGCACAGACCTAGACAGCTTCACTGGTGAATTCTACGGGGCACATAAGAAATAATATCAGTCCTTCACAAAGTCTTCCAAAAAGTAAAAGATGAGGGAACACTTCCAGACTCATTCTGTGAGATCAGTATTACACTGATACCAAAACCTGTCAAAGACATCACAATAAAACTACAGACCAATATCCCTTATGAATACAGAAGCAAAAATCCTCAACCAAATACTAGCAAACCAGATCCAGCATTAGGACATGCCAGGGAAGGCTATGAGGAACTTTCTAAAAAATAAAGAATCGAATCAATTTAATCTACAGTATACAGAAAATTTCAAACTGTCCCCTTTAAAAATTAGCCACACATACTCAGTGTCCTAAGGCAACAATGAAACTGAAAATCCAACAAACCTGGTCATAATTTAAAGGAGGCAGATCCTTTCCGCAGACTGTTATCTGTTCTAAATAACATTTTTCTTGAAGTGTTTTGTCTCTGGCCAAAAAGAAGCCCATCCAGGCACTGGTAGTTGAGGATGTATGCTGCCCTGCCAAGAGCAGTCCAATAAGCATGCCTGCTACTTCATCATCTGTCAGAGGACGCCCATCCCTACAGAATGGACCACATGTACAAATTTAACATTTGGCAGACACATTTCATGCCTCAAACTCTATCTAAAGGGTCATAGTTCATTTTTCTCTTGCATTTGCTTATTACAAGTCAGAAATTTTTCTTTTCTTTAGGGAAAAGAAACCAATAGAAAATGTGATTTTTGGTTGCAAAAGTCTTCATTGCAGTTTCCTAACAAACCTTTCACCATGTGCAGTCACTGGGACTTCCAGTAAGGCACAGGATCCCAGTAAATTACGTTTCATCCAATTAAAAAGTTCAAAGATCATAGCTACTAATTTTGCCAGCATTATTACTTTTTAAAGGGACATATTATTTAACTATGTTTTAATATGTCATCTCCTGCTTCAGCTTAATATGTGATCTGAACAGCTCTTACTTGTAAGTAGAATCTAGCAAAGTTTGGAGAATGTCATCAATTTTTTCTTTTGACTGTCTGCGTTTCTGGATTGCCTTGTAGAAAATATTCTTGATCTCTCGATGAGCTCTGTCCCTGCGTCTGTAATTCAAAGATGAAAATGGCTTTAAAAAATAAAGCAATACTTTCAGGCATCAAATTCATTTAAAAATAATCAGGACCTAGCTAAAAGCAACCTTATTTAACTAGCTTTAATGATGCTAAAATAACTGACAAAACTCAGAACCAAGAGAAAAGAAGCCATGAAAATCATATTGTTAGGAATTTCTAGGGTCCTAAAGGGCAATAAATGTGTTTTAACATATATATCCCTGATTTCTTAACACACTATACTAAAGATCTAAAATAAGACTCAAATGATTACTCCTTTATAACCATTTTCCACTTTGACAGAAAGCAAAGTACTTTACATTAACATGAAATTTCAATTTTAACCAAAATAATTTTTGAAGCAGTCAGTCACTCTAGTTCTTCTATAGGATTTAGGATTTGAATAAGCCTAGGATTCATCTATTATCTAAATCTAGGATTTAGAATATGACCACAATATATAGGATATGATTCTTCATTTTCTAAGACAACATAATTTTATAAGGGGCAAAAATACTAGTAGAGTAAGAAAACAAACTTCAGTTTCCAAAAATTTAAAGTAAAGCGATGCTCACTAGGTAACAGGTACTGTAAGTGAATTGCTCACTTTGACCTCCCATGAGGGAGATGCTGCTATTCTCACTTCACAGGTAGCTGCTTAAGATCACATACCCAGTGAGCAGTGGAGCTGAAATTTAAAACCAGGCAATCTGACTACCTAGCCCCCTCTTAATAAGCCTTCTAATGAAAATTGCTGCCTTTCTTTGTTTTTAAGACTGTTACTAAGTATCAACTGAGATATGGCAGAAGAGAAGATACTGAAGTTTAAAAGTATGAACACAGCAGAGCCAGGAAAACATAAGGCCTGTATGTGAAAGTGAATAAAGTCTGGTGAAATCAGTTGGTTCAGGTAAGACAGAGAAAGACTGGGCTAGGGTGTGAAAGGCCTATCATACCAAGCTCAGGAAATTCTGACTGCATCCAAGAGACAGGGAAGATGGATATAGGTTCCATGCACATTCATGGAGCACCCACTAGAGTCAAGGGCTGTGCTGGATGTTTTAACATAATATGGATGAAAGCATTTTGAAAACTTACAAATATAAGATATTATGAGTTCCAAAGAACTCCAGAGAGCCTTTCCAGACTTTCCTTTTATTTCCACCTCTCTTTATTCTGTGACTGGATGGAAGTCGTGGACATAGAAGGAAAAGGAAGTACCAATTTAACTCCTCCCCATTTCTCACCTCAACAGAAATTAATCAACAAAGGGACAGAGAGCCTACTAACATGCAAGACACCAAGCTACAAGTCAAGTCCTATGAGCAATATTGCTTTATATTATAGATGGTCCCTGCCATTAAGGAGATCACAATAGAGCTGTCAAGGAGACACAGAAAAATAAAGACAGGTACTAATACTTCAAAACAAAGAAAATTTTCCAACTTAAAAAAAGAAGAAATTTCACAGTATACTGAAAATTAGGGAAATACTCTCAAGTACATAGAAGGCTATATCACTTTTAGGTAGAGTTCAGAGACTTTCCTGAGTACAAAGAATATATGACATAAGTAGGCTTTAAAATATTAAAACAGATAGACAACACATTACTTTTCTAATAAACTGAAACTTACCTTAAATGAGCTCACCATTTAAAGAAAAACTGTCTTGAATTCTTACAGAAGAATTCTTCCCCAACTTATTGGTTTCAGATTTAATTTTTATCTTTGGTTAACAAAGCATACCAACACTATAGTAATTATACACGGTGGAATGATCAAGTATAGTTTCTTTATCCATACCTGAAACTAGGCAAGGGGAGCCAGCCTGGCAACAGCCAGGCTGCGTGGCTAAAACCTCCATCCAAATCTGCATACAGTTGTGCCACCTTCTCATTGAGTTGACTTCTGATTTCCTTCCCATGTAAACAATGGCTAGCGGTTAAAATTATGAGCTCAGAAAGCGCTTCAAACAAATCTAGAGGGAGAAAAAGATGATTCCCATTACTATGGCCAAAAATTCTTTTGAAATGCTCTGTTTTCTTAGAGATAAAAGTACTGTGAAGGAAAATGAGAATAAAAACTCAAGAACTGACAAGATCCTACCCACACCATCAAAAAAAAGCCTGTAGACAGATACGTGGTTACAGCAAAGAGAAGCAAAAAATCAAATGATGGGATATACCCCATCCTTTTGGACAGCCAAAATAGATGCCACAAAGGCATCTAAGAGCCCTTAATCTTGAAAAGATAAAATGAAGAGAAAAATGAATGTGGTTATCAGAGGTCCAGGTCACATATAACAAAGGCAGCAAAAAAGGTTCTTTAGTGCCTCAGAGGACAATAATGAGGTGCTTCCCATAGAAGAGCAGTCCAAAAATTGAAGAATGGATTATTCCCCAGGTCAAAAGTCAGAAAGTCGGTACTAAAAATTGAAGTCTTGACCATATATAAAACTGTAACTAGTCACCAATTTGTACATCCCAACACTAGAGACAGCTGCATCAGGCAAGTACATCTGGATGACACTTCAAAGTCATAAGAATTATCCAATCACTGTCCTGTTCTTTAATTCCATGTTCACCACATGAACTATCAATTATCATTTGGCTTTCCAATGAGATAGCCAATAAAGAGAAGTTCAGCAAATACCCTGGTGTTCTTGGTCCTGTAATTATATCTCACTTGTTACTACTTGGCATTCTAGTTTATACATCAGCTTCTTGAATAGTAGGAAATACATCACATAAACTTTAGGTGTCTTAAAATCAGGTTTCTGAACCTTGTGGGTATTTTAACTTCATGGTAATCATAACATGTTAATTTCATGAAATCTAAGGCAGTTTTACATACGTTGCACTTTGCTTTTTACACACACACACAGACACTCTTAAGATTTCTAGTTACAGAAAAGTAGAAATAAATACTAGGACAAATCCAAAACCAAAACATTTTGCTTACTTTTTTCTCCACTTTCTCCCCAGCTTTGAAAGTATTCCTTTGTTTCTTTTTCAATTATAGAAACGTGCTGTCTAAAGTGGACTATGTTAAGGCCACTTTTTAACATTTTCTTCTGCTCCAAGAAAACCTTCAAAATATTAAAGGTATACAAGCATTAAAACATAATTTTCTTTTATCACAAGATTCATTTGAGTTATTATAAATCTTTAACACTCAAAGAAAACAACCTTCTGAAAAACTGAAAAAAAAATCATTTTATAAACTACACCAGATATGGGACACTTAAACCATTCACGCATACATCTGAATTAACATGGAGAAGACATGGGCTATGCAGGCCCAAGACAAGTGATAAATTAGGAATCCCACTTCCTGCCTTCCTTCTTGTACATACACCCTTTCCCCACTCCTGACTCAGGGCTCTCTCTTCCTATCCTGTTATCTTATAGTCTTCCAGCCCAAACCAGATGCCAACACAATCTCCCAAAGGGCCTTTATGCTTTGCTTATATTTTTATCCTCCTTCACATATCTGCCCATCTATTCCTATACAAATATCATTTCTCACTGACACTACCTCCCATGAGTTTAATTAGAATGTAATATAATCTGAATAAAATAAATTCACAATAAGACAATGGTTTTAGCCCTATGGGGCAGTTCTATTTTAAGAATCTGATAAGCCGTGTGAAATAGATATACCGACCAGAGGGATTTTCCAGGGCTCTTGCTTTTGGCCTTGAGGAAAGCTATTCATTCCTCATCTCCCCTACTCCCAGAAGCAACACTTAATGTCAATTCTCACCTGCTATCCTAGGATACTGGGTAATGTGTGATTTGTTCACCACCAGAGCCCAGACCAAGTAATTGGGCCAGTTATCTGATTTGTACTTTAGATCAACTTGCAGCACTTTAGTATCTGACTTTAGTGGGGAAAAGAAATCACATGAACTTCTAACATCAATAATCTCTAGCTCAAAAGAGCTCTTATGCTAGAATTTCAGGTGGGAGTCGGAAGGTAGGAGGCCCTTCTGATTAAATAATGGGATTTTTATTCTTACCCACTCAAATCAAATCACAGTATGCTAAGTTATCATTGATTCTATTTCTTTGTACAGGAAGCCCTTTAAAGTTGCTTAGCCCAAGCCAGCAACTATAAAAATTACCCATTCTTTGTCAGTTACCCATTCTTTGTCAGTTACCCATGGTTTTTATTCTTTTAAGTAGCTCATGATTCTTCAGATTTTTGAACCAAGGAATAAATTGCTTCTACATTTTAAATGTATTATATTACACTGCTAGCTATAAATTTTAGATTATAGACTTGTCTTTCTTCAAGATAACAGTGTCACCTACCGGATTAGGCACATCGTATGCAACTCCTTTCCCAAACACGGGTGTGGTCAGACGGCTATAGACATCTTCTGCATTCAGGTCTTCATTTTTACTATTAAAAAGCAGCGCGGCAGCTTCACTCCCCAGAAGGTAGGTAAATGTCTTGCCCACCATGGTAAAACTAAATACAGGTCCATACTGAAGAGAAAAGTACCCATAGTGAAGTTACCAAAAAATCCAGAGTGCTAAGACACTCATGTATTAAATCACAAAACAGTAATGCTTTGGCATGTTGGAAATTAAAACATTCATAAACTTTAATGCAATTTTTCCCCCAATTTCTGTCCAAATTTATAATTATGTTCATCTAAGTGCAAGTAAAATACAAATACAGTGTCTTATTCTGCTTTTTTCACCATTTATGTAGAAAATATTTTCTATCTTTTACAAAGACATATGTCATCTGCTCTTTCATTACTGGATGTATGGGTGATGCGTCCACTTTTTAACTTATTATAGATGATTATGTAACAAATATCTCTCAGAATATAGATTTTTCCCCCTTTGGTTAAAGGTAAATTTATGGGAGTAGCCAGTAAACCTCTGGTGCCTTCACATAGCAAGTACTGTAGGTTTATTTAGTTATCAGTTTTACCACTATCTCACCACCAATGATTTCACTTTTAATTATATGTTAATCTGGTTAGGTGTTAACTGCTTTACTTTGCAGTTTTCTGATTATTATTGAACACTAGGTGCTGGGGAGACAGTCATGAACAAAAATACTGTCCCAGATTCATAAAGCTTTGTCTATTGAAAAAGATACAACTTAAATAATCACATCAACCAATGTAAAATTGCAAATGTGACAGATACTACACAAAGGAAAGCAACTCTGTGACGAGAGAACTGATAAAAGGGAAACCAAAGAGAGAAAGGACACCTGAACTGAGAGCTGAAGGGTGGGTAGGAGTTAGCCTGATGGCTGAGTATGTGCAAAGGTCCTAAAGGTGAGAAAAAGAGGGAAAGGATGAGATGAGGGTGGACCTGGCAGGGCCTAGACCATAGGGAGCCTCATAAGCCATATTCAGGAAGTTTGATCCCTGCAGGCAATAGAATGCTATGGAAGATTTTAAATTGCATGGGACACTCATCTGTGCATATTTTAAAAGAAAGATCCCTCTGGCTGTTGTACGGCAAGGAAGGAGGGACCGGAGCCAAAGGCCAGCCAGAGGACCAGTTAGAACCTGTTACAGAAACCTGATGAAGAGCCCCTGGTACAAGGTAATGGTGAAGTGGAGACAGAAGCAATTATTTGGGGGAAAGGATATTCAGACTTGGCAGTGGATTGATAGATGGAGAGAGAAGGATCAAGAATGACTCCTAGGTGTCTGGAACACTGCAAATTAAGAGAACAATGGTGAGAAGAGAGAACAGGACAACCAGGATCGGAGAGAGAAAAATCAAGGGTCAGACTTTAGAAATGTTGGATTTCAGGTGCCTCTGGAACAACTGAGAAAGAATCATGTGGGAGTTGGATATTCAGGTCTGAAGCTCAGAAGACAGACCAGAACCAGAGACATTAATTTGGGTGTCATATTCATGTAGCTGATAATTGAAGCTACAGGTTAAAGATCAAAGCATCTAGGAAAGAGTAAAGGCCAAGAGCCAAGCCTCAGTGAACCTCGACAGTAAACGGCCAGGTGTGAGTCCACAAATGAGTCAGAGGAGAAGCAGTCAAAGAAGTATAAAGAAAAAATGAGAGAAGCCACATATAAAGGAGTGGTCATCAATGATGAATACAGCTGAGACATCAAGTTCAATGGATTAGGACATGGAGCTCATTAGTGAAGAGGCTCAAAGACAGACTGGAAGGGACTAAAGAGTAAGTAAACAGGAGGTGTCGAAGTAGAGACTAAGTGCAGACAACTCGCTGGAAGGGGCACAAAGAAAGAAAGCTGATAGATGAGAAAGTCAATGAGACAGTGGACTGAAACAGCTAATGAGGTCAAAGAATGGTAAAAATGGAAGGCTAAGCAGAAGTAGCTGTGGTCTGAGAATCGGGTGTCAAATTAATATTGTGGAAGTGAAACAGGTAAGAATGGCGCCAAGTCCAAGGTGGGACTGTGGAGTAAATAGCTGAACTGGTACAGGAAGGTGCACTGGGGAGGAGAGGGGTGAAGATCTGAGTGGCCCTGGTGTCATGTGGGTCATCGAAGTGGAAGTGAAGACATGCAGAGCAAGTTCAAGAATTCCACAGATGCATGGTTAAGAAAAAGAAGGGTCAATATGTATCAATTTTAACTACAACCAGTGATTACAAAATTGAGACCAGTGGTTTTTAAACCATAGTTGCCGAAACTACAGGTTTCCTCACAGATCATCCCAGGACACAGGAGAAGAGGGTCTCCAAGGCACCTATCTAGCTCTTAAACTGGAGCAGCTTCCAATTCTTTCTGTTTCCTATAGCTGGGACAGCATAAGATTACATTTTTTTTTAATGTTCTGCCACTTAAAAAGGAAATGGGGAAAGCACGAATTTCTTTTCCTCTTAATGATTTAGAAGACTTACCTTCTCGTATGCATTTTCAAGGAATTCAATTGGACTGTTCCCAAATGCTATAGCATGTCCAAGGAATGGAATTGGAGAGAAAATGTATGGTGGACTTTTCTGCAAGAGAAAAATTTTTTTTAAAACTTCAGTTTACAGAAAATACCCAGTTGAGTTTCACGACCAAAAAAATGAAATTTGCCATTAATACTAAAAAGTTACCAAAAGATGAAGCATCAAAAGTAACTTGCAAATACCTTATGAGAGTAGCCATAGTGAAAACAGAAACTCAAAACATGGTGTAAGATAAATGACTAGACAAACACAAAGGCATTGCAATTATATAAATGAACACTTTCCAGAATATGTCCAGTATTATTGGTGGCCCTAGGCAACTTTCTTAACTATTACTAGCAAAAAACCCAGAAAAGTCAAACTGGTTTCTTTACCACTTCTACTACCACTCAGAATTTTAGTTTCAGAATATTGCCTAAAGAATGTATGGAAAAGACAAAGTAACTTGAGGTATAGAAAGAAGGGAAATGTTTAAAAGCTATATTATCAGTAAACAGAACACATCTCATGCTTCTCTCAACAACTAGTTCTACTGTTTTTAAAGGGAGAGTAGGTCAACTCTAGAAGGAGCACTTAGCATTCACTATAGAAGGTATTTTATTTATTTTTTTAATTTAAGTATAGTCATTTACAATGTATCGATTTCTGGTGTATAGCATAATGTCCCAGTCATGCATATATATATACACACACACACATATATACATATATACACATACATACACACACAGAAGGTATTTTAGATGCCCCAAAATGAGACTTGCATATTATAACATTAAGTCTCCTGGAATTCAAACTTGAAATGATGAAAAAGGATGATACTCCAGATCTTGCGTGGTTTCAAATAGTAAAGACTACAAACTCACTCTTCAGATAATAGTAACAACAATCTTAAAATACTAAAGCTACCTTTTTTTCTCTCCAAGGACAAATAACACTTTCTCAAAAAACCCGTATGAAGGAAAAATAACTGCCTCATGCCTGTTATTGTTCAAACAAATTATTTTTAAAACTACTTAGTCAATAGTTAGTATTCCATTCAGTAAAAGGGTAGTTTTAAAAGCTACTTGGTTTTGGCTGGTTAAGGAAGCATGCATCCGATATATTAGAGAAGTATGAAGCTAGTGGTCAATAAAGCCACTAAGTTAAAGAAATTATTTTACTAGCACCAGAGGAAGGTGTCTACAACACTCCAGTCACTCCCACGGTACCAAACTGAACATTTCCCCCTTCATACTGATGTAAATCACATTAGGAGCAATGCCACAGCTCATAAGACACGGAACCACACAAGGGTCATCACCAGGATGATGGCCACCAGGGTCGAAGGTGCCAACAGCATTACCACCAGGGCCCTCACCAGGTGGGCTCACAGACATAGCCAGGGCCACAGCCCCCACTCCGGCCACGGCCATTACGGCCACCACCAGTGCCTTGGCCAACACAGCCATCACCACGACCACAATCGTGATAAGGACCCCGGCCAGGACAAGATATGCGGGCACATCAGGGCCACAGCACCAAGGCCAGCAAGGTCAAGACAGCTGCGACCGCCAGCGCCACCAGCATCAGTGCCGCTGCCACCTCAGACTCAACCTCCAGCGGGTTCGCCGCCACCGCCCAGCCCAGCACGACCGAGGTCCCAGCCCCCCACCAGCCCTTCGGCAGTTGTGGTCGCTACGCCCCGCGCCGAAACCCCCGATAGTGCACATACCGACCCAGCCGGCAGTGGGGCCAGGTGGCTGATGGCGAGGCGAAGCAGGTAGACCAGGCTAAGCGTGAAGGCGCAGGCGACGAGCAGCATGGATAGGAGGTTGCCTCCCGTTACCTGCTCCATCGCCTGCCCCAGCACCGACCCGCCCGCTTGCAGTAAGCCCAGTAACACCATCCTGGCGGCCACCCCGCGTCAGTTCCCGGGAGACACTGGAGGCCGAGGTCGCCACTGATCCCCAAAATCTACGGAAGGAGAAACGCCAGCAGATGGGCGTCGGAAGGCGGCCCCAGCCTCCAGCTCTAGTACTCAATCCAGTCCCACCCACTACTGCCGGCTCGCTCGCGCACCACCCTGTGCGTCACAGAACGGGGTGGGGCCTGGCCCTCACCACGCCCGAAAAATAGGTCACCACGCCCGAAAAATAGGTCTCCACACCGCCGAGGTATCCTTACGCCGAGAGAGGGGACCTGAAGCGGCAGCCTGCCCCTAAGACACGGGTGATACGAGAGCAGAAGAGAACGTGGGCTCACGAGGAGATCACCTCCTGAGAATCGCGTGCCACCCGAGCCTGGGTGTCCTGGGTGTGGAGAGCCAGGATACGGCGCTGGGATGGAGCCGGCGGAAGGATCTCAGGACGAGAGTTGCGGTGAGATCGACAGCGGCCGCGCGCTCTATGATTGCACCGCGCGCGCCTGAGGTGATCTCGGCTTATGTCGCGTCAGCGGGGCGGGTAACTTGAGCACCGCCCCCTGCTAGGGCGCGCTAACCCTCTGCACCTGATCCTGGTCCAGGGCCGCGAGCGGGGGACTCTGAGAGACACTCCCAAATATTCGCGAAATGGGAGCTTGTGAAAGATGCCGCCTGCACACTGACGGTTGGGACCGTGAGGCCAGTCCCATCCCACCCCGAGTAAAACCAGTCTAACAGGTATTCATATGCGGGAAAATGGTAATAAATCTTGGTGTTGGGTATTCTGCATTGTACGGATCAGGTTTTCCAAACAAAACCTGTAGGTTATAGGCTGTCGTAACCTTTTTGAGACATTTCCCAAGAGCGCCGCTTATTCTGGCCGTTTAGGACCAGAAAGATTTGGAAGCGGGAGTTCAATTTTGTAGTTACAGTCAGTCAACCTGATCTCTTCTACTCCTGTGATTTCAAAAAAGCACGTATATAAAATGACTACCAAAGTTAATCCTCCTTTTAGCTTACTGTCACGAGCTCCTGACCAGATTCATTGCATTGTTCAATCAACGTTAGGAGCGGAGTACTGTGCGAGTGAACGAGAGAACTGCAAGGCCCTCGAGGAAGGAGCAGTAATATAGCCGGTTGCCTGTGCTGACTCCCCTACCTAGAAATCTTAACATCCATCTCACAGTAAATCGAAGACGAAACTCATGTCCTCCCACCTCCCTGCCAACCTGCCCTGTAACGCCTCTATAGGAAGGGCATCACTATCCACCAAACTGACCACCTACGTCACATCTAACCAGTCAACAAGTCCTATAATTCCACCATCTTAAAAGTTTCTCCATTCTTAATGCCACTACCTTAGGTCAGGCCCTCCTACTGCTTGTCTGTATTACTGCAATAGTATCCTACGTTGTATTTCCAGGCTTGCCTTTAATCTATCCTCTACACTGCTGCCGTTTCTTAAATCACTAAAGCTATATTGTAATCGTCTCAATAGGTTTCCTCTGCGACAAGATGAACTTGAAGATAGGGATTGAGTCTTAGTTGTTTTTCTAATCTGTATTTATTCTAATACCTTCCATAGCAGTTCCCAAAAGTGTGATTCATGTCCTTCTGGGGGATCCCCAGGACCCTTTCAGGGCATCTGCAAAGTCAAAGCTCTTTGTAATAATAGTGTTAATTACTCTTTTTACTGCTGGAATTTGCAGTGGTGGTGTCAAATCGATAGTAAATAAAACAGGCCTTAGCACAGATCAAGTGGCACCAAACTCTAGTAGTCATTGTTCTTCACTGCCATGCACTTGCAGTAGGGAAAAAAATTGCCTGTTTCACTTAAGAATGTCCGTGATGAAACTGTGAGCATTAATTTTACTTAAGTTCAATCACTTAATACATGTTTTTTTAACTAGCTACTTTTTTTCACGGAATAGCATTTTTTTCTTGAAAAAACAAGTGACAAATTAATGGTCATTCAGATTTGAGTATTTGACAAATATTTTCTTGAAAATGAAATCAGTCTCTCCTTTCAAGGAAAATCACTAGCAGTATTTGTTGTCAATAATAAAACTAAAGTTTTCAAATAGAAATTAATTTTTAAAAAATTATCTACCACTATGAACTTGACAACTTACTAATTCTTAAGGCCTTTCTACAGAAGAAAATGTATTATCAAGTGGAGTTTGTATAATAAAATGTGTCAACGTTCTGAATCCTTGCAAAATTCACAGAGCCAGTGTTTTCAAATGACCAGTGCATGATGTTACAAAATCATGTGAGTAAAATCTATTCAAAGTACATCTTAGACCAATAGATTTCCATATAACAAAATACAAAAAGCTCATTGATAGTTTCAGATTCTACACTGCAACTAACTTTTAAGATACTACCAATTGTGAAGAATATCTAATTATCTGAAAAAGTTATTAAAATATTCCTTTCTCCAACTATACATCCAGGAAGCCAGGTTATCTTAACGTACTTCAATCAAAACAATGTAGTTAGCACAATAGATTGAATACAGAAGCCCCTGTGAGAATTCAGCTGTCTTCCATTAAGCCAGGTGTAAAAGAGATTTGCAAAAATCTAAAACAGAGCCACCTTTCTCACTAATTTTTGTTTTTGAAAATCTGTGTTCATAAGGATACATTATTTGTGTTAACATGGGTTATTTTTAATAAATTAATAAACATTTTCATTTCTCCACTTTAAGTTGTAATACTATAAATACTTACAGATATAACCCACTTTTTAAAGAGTTCTTAATAATTTTTAAGATTGTGAAAGTCCTGAGATCAAAAGTTTAAAAACTGCTAACCTAGAGTATATATGGTATTTTCAATTTTTTTTCTCTGTGGAACCATGTCCCATACCACCAGTACTACCTTTCTGTGAAATCATTTTTAAGCAAAACCTTTTTTATTCATTGAAACTTCAAGGTAGTTCCATTATATAACCATAGCTTTTTAGATATTAATGCGGATTTTCCAAGGTAATGTTTCAGAAGCACATCATAAAATGAAAGGGAGATTGTTGATTCACTGTGGATTCAAGCCTATTATTATTAGTTGAGTGTGGTAGTTCAGCTTTTTCCTATCCTGCCCATACTTCTCATCTGACCACTCTTTTAATATTATTGAATTAATCTTGATTCCATATTGTGATCTAAGAATGCACTGAAATGCTGGGTGATTGATAAAGCATCTATGATCAAAGTTTCCTTTTTTAAATATTTTTTTAATGTTTATGTAAATAATAAGATACTTGACTGACAATAAACTTGTGATTATCTCTTTAAATTTTTTTCCCTTTTTGTAATCTTTCTCTTCTATATTTGGGAGAGGGAGGAGGATTATATTAAGTTGACTTCTGAATCGGTATAGATTACAGCCATTCTTCCAAAGAGCTCATCCCCTCTCAGTTTTCTTGGCCTTGAGCCTCTGCTCACTTTTCCATAATTCCTTAGTAAGATACTGTTCTCTGACAGAAGGGGTGAGTCCCTTAAAATCCCCAAAACCACACTTCAACATATGACCTTACCTTTACAACTTTACTGAAGGATTATAGATAACAAAATGAATCTTAGAACCCAAGAGAAAAACTAAAACCAGATGCTAAATATGACTATTTCTGAAGTCAAAGGAAAAGAAAAAAAAATCAAACATTCCATGGGGACTGGGAGTTCCCTTCATGCACACAGAACAGTACCTGGTTGTCCTGTATAAAATTTACTTCCCTGTTATTCTTATGTGAATGAGTTTTCCTTAAAAAAACTCCATTTAGGATAACTCTAACACCTACTAACAGCAATCAGTTTTACCCAACTCATGCCCAAACTCATGCCCAAACTCCAGCCCCACCACAGCAGGGCAATTCACGGGACACAATTCTGCAAAACATTTCCCTAAGTCTGAGTTTTTCAATAATAGGCAGTTAAGCAAAACTGCCCCATTTGGCACCTCAGGTCTTAGACTCCTAAAGTCCCTACACCAGTATGAAACACAATGTATATCTTCATTTCTCCTGTAGTTTTCTGGAAACTTACTGAACCAAAGACAGACACACACACACTCCAAGGACAAATATTTCTCTGGGACAATGGAAGAGAAACATTTTCTTAAACATTTTCCTAAATGATGGTTCCTAAACATTTCCAACTAAATTTACACAGATTTCCCTGCTCTTAACAGAGATGGCCACTATACATTATCACAACAGTTAAAACATGGAAGCATCTCAAATGTCCATCAGTGGATCAATGGATAAGCAAAACGTGATATATACATACAATGTAATATTTTTCAGTCTTAAAAAGAAGGAAATTCTGCCCTTTCCTCATCTGCCACTAAGGTGCTTGGTCCCTCTGAGGAAGCTAAGGCCATGCTGGGGTGAGGCCCTCACTTCACTGGTCTAGTGCCATGCCCTGTAGTGCTCTCATTTTTGGCTTGCCCAGTAAAATACACAGAAGCATGAGACCCATGGAGGAACGTCTCCCAACAATGCCTGCCCTTCTTTATATAGCTTCTTGTTATGGACTGAATGTTTATGTCCCTCCAAAATTTGTATGTTGAAGCCCTAATCCCCAATGTGACTATATTTGGAGACAGGGCCTGTGAGGAGGTGATAATGGTTAAATAAGATCATAAGGGTGGGACCCGACTCTCATAAGGCTGTTGTCCTCATCAGAAGATGAAGAGATGTCAGAGTTTGCACTTTCCATCATGTGAGGACACACTGGAAGGCAGCTAGCTGCAAACCAGAAAGAGAGCTCTTACCAGGAACCAGATTAGCCAGCATCTTAATCTTGGGCTTCCCAGCCTCCAGAACTGTGAGAAATTTCTATTGTTACACCCAATCTGTGGCATTTTGTTATGGCAGCCCATGCTGACTCATATACTTCTTATCAGGAAAATTGTTCAGGACAGTTCACACCTGCTCCAGGCAGCCTGTACTGGCATTATGGTTTTAAATATTCCTGCTCTGTGTTCTCATGGTGCTTTCTTTTTATCTCTGTCCTAACACATGTCACACACTAATTCATTCACTTGAATATCAAAAAAATACTGAGCTCTTACCATATGCCAAAGCATTCATCTAGGTAGTGGGTACAAAGTTGTGGATAAAAAGATAGTCTCTCTCCTCATGGAGCTAATAAACACATAA